GGGAATTTTGGGGCCGGGGATTTTGGGAGAGGAGCTGGGATTTTGGAAATTTTGGGGCTGGGAATTTTGGGGCAGGGATTTTGGGAGTGAGGGCTGAGAATTTTGGGGCAGGGATTTTGGGAATAGGGGCTGGGGATTTTGGGAATGGGGCAGGGATTTTAGGAATAGGGGCTGGGATTCTGGGAATTTTGGGGCTGGGAATTTTGGGGCAGGGATTTTAGGAATAGGGGCTGGGAATTTTGGGAGAGGAGCTGGGATTTTGGGAATTTTGGGGCAGGGATTTTAGGAATAGGGGCTGGGATTTTGGGAATTTTGGGGCACGGATTTTAGGAATAGGGGCTGGGAATTTTGGGGCAGGGATTTTAGGAATAGGGGCTGGGAATTTTGGGGCAGGGATTTTAGGAATAGGGGCTGGGAATTTTGGGAATAGGGGCTGGGATCTGCTGGGAATTGTGGATCCAGGCTGTTTCCAGCACTTCCTCCTTTGGAAAGCAGCCTGGAGCCACGGGGGTGGTTTGTGAGAAATGAGGGTTCATGGAGCTGGGAGAGGCTGGGCAGAGTTAAAGGAATCAAATGGGATTTATTTAAAAGGCCTTCAAAGTTTAAATGTCTTAAGTGCCTTAAATTTCTGCCTTAAATCTCTTCCTTAAATTTCTTAAACCTATTAAATTTCTTAAACATCTTAAATGTATTAAATTTCTTCAATTTCTTCCTTAAACATCTTAAACATCTTAAACTTCTTGAACGTCTTAAACGTCTTAAATTTCTTTCTTAAATTTCTTTCACGTCTTGAATGTCTTAAATTTTTTTTCTTCAATTTCTTGAACCCCTTGAATGCATTAAAAGCATTAGAAACAGTAAAAGTATTATAACAGCCTGGTGGAGGCTCCACCCAAAATGGGTGTTGGGTCATGATTTTTCACACTTTTTTATCAGTTTGGGTCCATTTTTCATTTTGGGGTTCATTGTCCAATCCCATCTCCAGGTTCTGCAGTCCCAGATTCTCTCCTCAATTCGCTGCTTTTTGCACTTTTTGGGGCTGGAGCTGCAAAATTGGCTGGAAAAGAATTGTTTGGTGTGACTGGGCTGTGAGGAGAACCTGCTGACACTTGATGTGAAATTCAGAATCGCTAATGCAGAATGTGGAAAACATGGAAAGATAAAATTTAAGGCATCGGAGCTGAGAGGCTGGAATGCAAATCCAGGTCACTGCCAGCCCCTCTTTGTCCCTGTGGGGACAGCAGGAATAATTCTCCAGTGCTTTGTGAGGAGCTCCAGGCACTGATGGGCTGGGGAGAAAAGGGAGAATCCAAACATTGAAGGAATTTCTTTTGGTCCAGCATCTCCAGGCTCAGAGCACGGTGCGTGCTGCAATTTTGGGAATCCGGGATTCCCAAATGATGATCCCTTTTTTTTTTTTTTTTTCCTTGCAGAATGCTTTAACCACCTGGCTGAGGAATTTTGCCTGGGATTCTCCCCTGTCCAGGGAGGAGCTGGCCACCATCCTCGGAGAGCTCCAGCCCCGCCGACACAAGAGAGAGGAGAGTAAGGAATGACCCCCTGATCCACAGGGATTCCCTGCTGGGAGGGATGAGGATTTGACAGGAAGGTCTCACCCATGAGTGTGATCAGCAGAAAGATCTTTGAGTGTAGAGTCTGAAGAAGGAATAGAAACAACAGCGAGTTTTGATGTAGAATAATGGAATTTGCTGAGTGTGCTGGTTTGAAAGCACTCCCAGGGAAGTTGGGAATTCCCATCCCTGGAAGTGTCCAAGGATCTCTCTACATCCTGAAAGGTGGCTGTGCTCACCTGGGGTCGGTGTCTTTCACCAAACAGCAAATAAAAGAATGAGAGGACACAGTCTTAAGCTTCCCAAGGGAAAAATAGGTTGGATATTAGGG